AATAAGTCACACAAATAAAATAAATCTCTTCATATAAACAAAAGGCTTTCTCTGTGCTCTTTCCATTTAAAATTAGAGGCAACCACTGCATTTTAATCATGATCCAAAAAAAGACGCTGCATACATGCAACACGAGTAGTCTTTAATCTAAATTGGATTGTATAATTTCGAAATTTGAAGCAAAAACAGAATGGTTTGACTTCAGTTTTGTGAAACTATACATAAAAATATCCGCATGAAACAGAAACAGCAGACGAGCTGAATGAGATGCAGATTCACTCTCAGCCAGCAGGTGGCGCTTAAAGCGTTTCCTTGGTTTCCGCTGTAAACAAAGCAGCGCTGCACTTATGAACTTTAATATGCATTATACAGAGTCAAGATGAAAAGAAAAAATACCATCTAAACTTTTCTAAAGACAGTTCCCCTCAGACATGGATTCATATAAACTCCTACCCCTAAATGAATCGCGATTTGTTTAGCATCTCAACCGATTTGAATTGTCACATATTTGAATCGATTTTCAACCGGCTCGCGGTTAATCGTTACATCCCTAGTGGTGAGCATAAGAGACTTCCTTAAAAACATTTAAAATTCCTACTGACCCCAAACTTTTGAATGGTAGCTTATCTTTCACTATAAACACTTTTACAATATTATGTAACATTTGTTCTAATATTTATGTTTTAACTTACAGTACAGTTCACAAGTCACAATAATGGCTTTTTTTTTATTTCCAGTTCACGCAGCTGAGAAAATATTGCTTACAATACATGGGCTGCAATCAGCTGTAGCTTTACATCAGATCACTTTATTTTAAACTCTATCTCACTCACAAAACCAGTGCAGGAAACAGAAGAAACCAGCACCATCTACTGGCTGAGCCATGTCAGTGACAACACAGTTCATTTTTCACAATGACCTTGATATATCTTCGCAACATATTCTGTTACATCTAGGTCTTTAAAAACTGGAAAAATCAGCACTATCATATTATATGGCCAGGAAAAAAGGTTTTATTATCTTAACTCAAATATTAGATCACAACTCACTCCACCAGATAAAAGGTAGAGGAATCTGCAGACAACCAGTAACTCTAGCAATTATTTAGCTCCAGTAGCACAAACTAGTGCAGCTTTCCTCTGCCAGCTGTACTACGAAATTATCATTTTGATTTTTAACAATGCATTTTTAATTGTACAAGAAATGTTTCTTTAAAGTTTGTTTTCTTAAAATTAAAAAAAAAAGTGGAAGGGTGAATTAAGACTTTTTGAGACCTTTTTAAGATGCACAGAAACCTGTTAGTGGTAATAAATCTTTATCATGATAACAAGCCTCTTTCACTCACAAAAGTAGTTGAGGGTTTCCTCAATCTGCTCAGAGGTGAGGTCTATGCATGTGTCGGGTGAGATGAGAGGTGTGTGGATCCAATCGTCGTTCTCATAGCCGTACACACAGTCTGCCCTCAGCCTGTAGACTGGCAACTGCTCCTCCAGCAGACTGATGATCTCCACCTCAGGGAGCTCTGTGCTGTTACAAACATCTATATCAGAGAGAGAGAGAGACAGAGATGTGAACATCAACACTAGTACATCTTGTGCAGCCTGTAATGAAACAACACACAGTCACACACGTTCTGACCTGTGATTGTTTCTGCGTCCCTGTAGCGGGCGTGTGGCGCTAGAGGCACTGGTTTCTCGGTTCCTTCGCCTACATACTGCTCTTCCGGGATGGGTCCAAGGTGTACGGCTTCTGTAGGGTCTGTTCTCGAGCACTCAGAACTGGACTCGTCCAGCTTGGCAGCTTCTCAATGAGATACTAGAACATGTCCAGCTTTGGCCCCCTTTAAACAATGCAGACAAATGAGATTGAAGATTATAAAACATAAAAAACAAAAGTATATCCTGTTTCAGTATCCTGCCTGATTCAGTATTGGTGTGATCTAAGGATCTTGCTAATGAATGATTTCATCAATAACCCCAAACCGTTTGGAATTGTTGCAGCCAGGTATTAAGGCTTATTATGTTTGAGAAAACGACCACCATGTGCAGCAAGGAGGTTAATCTAACAGAAAAACGATGCAGTCCATATGGGGCCTTTGGCATCAAAAAGTTTGAAAACCATTGACCTAAATCAACATTAAAAATGACAAAGATGCTATTTGTTTTAACATGCTGTTCTGACATTTAGCGCAGATCACACAAACCACGTGGAATGAAACGCAATCATCTTTCATAAAGAATTATATAAAATATTGTATACTTATTAGATCTTTGTGCAAAGAAATAAAAAAACAGACAACACTCACGCCCCGTTCATTGTGTTAATTGCATAGATTGTATAGGTTAATTGTAAAACATGAGATCACGTGGTTTGTTTTTGTAATGTGCGCATCTACGCAGGTGTCGTCATGACGTTCCTCCGTATCTTCTGCAGTACCTTGCGTTAACAAACTGTATTACAATATGTATAAAAAAGTATTAAAAATGAATATCTGCATTTCATTATAGTCCACCTTGTAGCTACTAATGGATATTATCCAACACGATAATATCATGACTGTGATACTGTCTAGATAAAAGAATCTGCTTACTTACAAGTAAGGTAACTCCAGTCAGTGTGGAAACCGTATAAAACGTTTATCGTAGTCCGGATGAAACGCGCAACATACATGAACTGATTTCTTCAAGTCAACGGCGTTAGTCACGACAACAATAAAGCAAAGGCTACACATTTGCTTTTGTCTCTAAAGACTAGATTGTCGGATTACTACCGGGATTGTTACAAATGCCTAAAACAGCAGGCGTCGAATCTCCCAAACCATTCAACCTTACTTCTTAGCTCCTCTTAGTGTATGTTTAGTATTTCGCTCATCCTATAAATCATCCTCTCCTCCTGTATCGCCTCCCTTCATTCTCAATCTGATAGAGCCGCAACGCCCGTGACGTCACACGTCAAAACAGCACAAGAATGTCACACAGCTTCACTGTACACGTGTACTGCGATATGTTTTATAGCTTTCCTTATTTTCTGTAGATTTAGTGTTCATTCATTGATACTAGAAAACAGGAGAAGGTATATTTGGAAATGTCAACAAAATTTTAATGCCAGACAATCTGCTTATATTTTTAGATGATGTACTCAGTATTTCTTTTAATATTATTCTTGATGTTAACGTTTCACATTTGCTCACCTTTTTACGCCTTATCTTTTTCTTTCGTTTACTTAAGTAGATCTGTGGTGTTATAAGTACAAATATTCCATGGAGTCTCTCATTTAATATGATTTCACAAAAAGTGCATATATAATGAATGTAAATAGAGTTTAAGTAAATCTTTTAGATATAGCATTTCAAGCTACAGCAAAATGTTGTCACATGTTAACTGCTCATGTTTTTATTAATATTTTTACGATTTGGTTGTGACATTCTAGATTTGAAACTTGCCAGATTAAGATGATAAAATCAAAATTGGTTATGCAGCAATTTCTGAAAAGGTCAGTCTAAGAGGAAGGAGACACATTACACATTAAAATCACCAAAAAAAAATTATTACAGTTAGACAATTGCATATTTAGTCTGTCGTACATGTCTACAGGTACAGATTGATAGCTTGAGGTCTGAATGCTAACATGCTGATTTTGCACTTATGGTAAAAGTGTGTGTGTGGATCTATTTCACAGCTTTGCTGCTGAGGTTGAGTTTCCTGTGCAAAACAGAATTGCTTATTGTGTGTCTGTGGGGCAGGGTGGGAATGGGAGGCAGGACAGGTTCAAGAGGAGGGAGAACATGGCTGTCTTTGCATGAAAGAGCACGGATCTCATCAGTGAGAGCCTCGATGTCCTGTGCTTGAGCCGCAACCAGCTGCTGCAGCCTCTGCAGTTCCCGTTTTTCAACCAGATGGCCTCGGAACTGACCCACCTTAAACAAACACACACACATTTTGAATGTCTGAGAGGTGTCCTGCATAAACATTCACAGCTGCAGGTGCTGCTACTGCTTCATTTGTCAATACTGTAGCGATTCAAGATGAATCTGAACTGAAATTGAGTAAACTAAATCATGTCAGATGTTGGCTTTAGCAACAACAAATATGTGAAGAACTGAATACCGTCTTCCACTGTCTGGCATTGAGTTGTTCATCCAGTGCTTTTTTCTGACTGAGCAGGCTGTTCATTTTACGTAGTCTCTCTGTGTTCTGTTTCGTGATTTCAGTCAGTGACTCTTTTGCCTGGTACACACACACATAACCATGAACAATTGCTCTAGATTGTCAAATTTAACCATAATAATTGGTTCATTACATATACTACTGTTCAAAGTTTAAGGTAAGATTTTTCTAAATATTTTAATTCAAACTAAATATATGCATAATGACAATAGACCATTATTCACATATTAAGTCTGCTAAGAATTTAATACTTTTATTCAGCAAGTATTAAATTGATCAAGTAGAGTAAAATTAGAGTAAAGGCATTTATAATATTACACAAGATTTCTATTTCAAATAAATGCAGTTCTTTTGAACTTTAAATTCACTGAATCCAGAAAAATCTATGAAAACTGAAAAAAAAAAATCAACAGTGATAATAAATGTTTCTTTAGCATCAAATCAGCATATTAGAATGATTTCTGAAGGATCATGTGACACTGAAGACTGGAGTAATGATGCTGAAAATTCAGCTTTGCCATCACAGGAATACATTGCATTTTAATATATATTAAAATAGAAAACAGTTATTTTAATAATAAGGCTAATAATATTATCATTGGCTGATAATTGTATAATAATAATATTTCACAATATTGTTTTTTCAAAAAGCATTAAAAAAAAAATTTTTTTGAACAGTAGTGTAAGGCAAAGGTAATGTAAGTGTCGGTGTACCCAGGGCCGTCCTTAGGGGGGTGCAACTGGTGCGGTCGCACCGGGCCCCGCGCTTGAGGGGGCCCCACGGCTAACGGACTGAGGAGGGGCCCCGCTCCCTACCTTGCACCGGGCCCCGCGTCAGCTAAGTACGGCCCTGGGTGTACCTCCCAGTGTTTGAGCTCCTTTGTGTATTTGGCATCCTGTTCTCTGATCTTCTGTCTCATCTCCTCTACCCTCCTGTTGCCTGACAGAGTCTGCAGAACTTCTAGGTCAACCAGCTTTCCGAACTTCTTAAGCATCAGCTGCTCGCAATGTACTTCCGACTCTGCAAAGAAATGTATTTAATGTAACACTTTATTCCTGAAACTAGCACCTCAAGTTTAAGGAAATATAATATATTTTTTCTCATTCCTCAGTTTGTGAAAAAAAAAACATTATAAGTAAGAATTCATAGTACAATTTACAACTGCATTTTACAACTAGCAGCAAGTGTGTGATTTGAAATTGTCATCATGTATGTAGATGTCTGACCCTTTATTCTGGCCTCCATATCTTTAAGGTCATGTGTGAGCTGCACGTGTTGCTGCTTTGCGTGTTTATAGAGCTCTCGCTGTTCAATCTTCTCCTGCTGCAGCTCTTTAATACGCTTCTGCAGACGTTGTAGATCAGCTGTGTTCAGGACCAATGCTGAGTCAAGCTTACCCGGTAATAGACCTTTATTCACATATTCAATCTGTTCCAATGGCGAAGGAGAGAGAGACTTGATATTGGATGTAAATTACACTTTAGCAGATTTAACACTTTAGCACTTTAACACATAAGATAATCAGCAAGTACATGTAATTATGTTCACACCTGATGCAGTCTGAGTGGCACCACCACATTCACTTCATTCAGCTTCTGCTGCTTTTCTCGGTTAATAAGCTCCAGATCGCCCTCTGCTGCTTTACGATTGTTCTGCAAAATCTTCTCCTACAAAAACAAACATGCTTTAGGCTATTCTGTTGAAAAAGAAACAACAGAAAGAAAGGAGAGAGGAGTGGAAAGAACTATTTCTCAAATTTTCTTGATCAGTGTGTCACACTCCTTCTTTAAACTGTCAACAATTTTTATCTCCTCTTGCAGCTGCTCCTCCACATGCAGACGATGTTCACACAACCTCAGTGTGTTCTCAAAAAGCTCAGGATCACAGCCTGAAACACACAGGACCTATATTATATATTACATCATTTATATACATATATTTTTAATGTTTCTGAAAGTCTGCATTTATTTGTTTAAAAATAGAGTAAAAATACAATATCATTAATCATTTTAAAGAACTATAATTTTTAGCAGCCATTTTCATGTGATCCTTCAGAAATCATTCTAATATGCTGATATGGTGCTTTAGAAACATTTATTATTATTATCAATGTTGAAAACAGTTGTGCTGTTTAATATTTTTGTATAAACGGTGATATATTCTTTGATTACATTTATTTATTTTTTTTAAATATAAATCTTTTGTAACATTATAAATGTCTTTACTGTCACTTTTGAGCAGTTTAATGTGTCCTTGCTGAATAAAAGTATTAATTTAAAGAAAAATCTGATGCCAATTTTACTGACCCCAAACTTTTGAATGGTAGTGGATATAATGTAATATATGTTATATATTAAATACAATGCACAAGTGAACAACAGGGTGCAAACAAGATAGATTTGCTCTCTGGGGAGCAGGTTGATCTTACTTGGTGGGCACACACTGTCATCCAGGGGAGCTCCAGTCTCAGAGTCATCATAATCCTCCTCATTATCCCCGTCTGATTCTTCATCAGAGTCTTCATCGCTGTCATCTTCCTCCTCTGTCACATCACCGCCTGATGGAAGGAGAAACAAAACAAATATTACATTTGAATTAACAAAAACTTGACTAAAATTATTACAAACATTTTATTAATTGAAATAAAGCCTCTTAAAAATTAATAATTTTGTAATAACTGCAATCATTCAAAAAAAATAATAGGAAGAATTATTATCAGACAGTAATAAAAATTGCTTAATTATATTGAAAATAATGGTAAATTGGCAACAACAACAAAAATCCAAGGGTTCAGATACATTTACTTTATGCAAAATATGACTTCTTTTTATTAGTTTTGTAGTGAAATGTGACTTTTAGACAGGTTATGCGAGTTTCACTCAGTGAGATACATAGAACACTTGCAGCTCACCGTCACGTCCATGTGTTTCTTTCTTCTTTGTACACTTTATCTTTTTCTTAAACACTCTGGTGAGGAATTCCTCAAACTTGTTGTGGAGTGAGGCCTGAAAAGTGGCTGCGATTGTTTTCTCCTTCCCTTGGAGTCTTAGGATGTCTAAAAAAGCAGTAAGTGGAACTGAGAAGAAAAAAAACATGTAACAGTATAAGAATGGAGAAAACATGGCTCTGGATGGAAGTGTAGTACATGGTCTGTAGCTTGTTAAGGCCGATGCTGTGTTTCTCCTCCTCCCAGGCCAGTTCTTTCCTGACCTCCATCACTCTCTCTTCTGTCTGTCTTTCAGTTTTCTCGCGGAAGCTCAGGTCCAGTTCAAACTCCTACAAACACCCATCAAATATTATGTTAGATCATTGTGTCTATGTAATCATTACACTGAAATAGGTGAGTGAGCGAGGAGGTGTGTGAGATCTATAAACCGAGCGATGGAGGCGGATGTGTTCAGGAAGGCTCTGGTTCTGCTCCAGTAAAGCTTGAAATTGACTCTGCAGTTCCGCCAGTTTCTTACGCCATTCCTGTTTCCTCTGTTCTGCTTCCTTATGCATGCGGTCCAGCTCTAGCTTCTGTTCAGCTGTTTCTATGCTGCACACACACACTTATGCTAAATAAACAAGCACCGTCTATGCATGATAATAAAAATGGAAATTCGGTTATTATGTACTCATGATTTACTGGTGTTTTTGAAGCCCTATGGTACAATGGATACATTTTTTTCCCTTGTTTTTGCGATTAATTAAAACAAAATATTGTTTTCGTCTTGCTTTCTCATGATTATAGATTAAAATTACTTTTATTGAGATCACAATTTATTCATATTTAGAAAATAGAAGTCACAGTCCCATAACTGATTAAGAATTATTTGTAAATACTTAAATCAGTTAAATATAGGTCAAAATATATATAATGTTATATATATTGAATAATAAATAATGAATAGCAAGGAAGCATTACTTTTTATCTGGATTTATTTTAATTAAAATCAAGAACAGTGAGAGTTTCTTAACAGATCTTAACATTACGTGAAATCTATGTTTTTTATATTTAATATTTTTATTTACTTTTCCATATTTTTAATATTGTATTATGTGATATTTGTTTATCCCATATTTAATTGGTTAAGTGTTTAAACGTTAAACACCTTGTAAATGGGACTGTTTTCTTAAGATAAATATGTTCTTACCTCAAGTATAATTTTTTATGTTGTGATCATGAGAAAACAAGACATAATTTATTTTAGCATTATTTACATATATTTATGTAAACAAACAAACAAATAAAAAAACAAATATGAAATCATTTTTATTTACAATGCAACTATGCAACTATGGTAAAAATAATATTACCACCGTGTTATCTATAATGTAACACAATTATTAAGATACCTAATCAGAAATAAATAGTTATATCAAAATAAATTTAGAATGTTTTGTATAAAATATTTTTAAAAATTATTATATAAAAAAAGAAATTTACATCCCTTGTGCAGTACCTCTGTAGCCCACTGGGGGGTCGGGTCACACAAATAAGCCCCGTTCACACTGCCAGAGACTTTTTTGCTGTATGTCGCTAGACTCTGCTGTGAAGACGCTTGTGGGCGTTCTTACTGCTGTCGCTCTAATGTTATTGGTAGACTGCACGTCTGGACATATCTTTAGGAAATGCAATCACAAACTATATATATTGCCGGCAAAACTAAGATGTCATTGTAATATCACTAGGAATTAGACTTAAAAGAAATAAAAGTACCATTCTGCTGTTGGAGAGTGTTGTTATATAAACTACAGCAGTGCTCGTGCATTAAATCATTAACCGGTGCTAAACTGCTCACTGCATCA